AGACCACCCATAGACTTCTTCATGGACTAATCCACAGGCTAGTCTATAGACTAGTCCATATGCTTGTCAATAGACTATTCAATAGACTAGTCCAAAGTCAAGTTAATAGATTAATGTATAGTGAAGTCCATAGGCCAGACAATCGACTAGTTAATTAACTAAACTATTGACTAGTTCGTAGGCTTATCAATAGATTAGTCTGCAGTCTAGTCCATTGACTATTTAAAAGACAGCCCAAAGACTAGACAATAGACTTGTACTAAGGCTTGTCAATAGTCCATAAACTAGTCAATAAACTTGTCCATAGACTAGTCAATAGATTAGTCCGCAGATTAGTCTATGGGCTACTCCATTGAATTGCCAATAGACTAGTCCGTAGACGGGTGCATAGGTTTATCAATAGATTAGTCTACAGACAATAGGCTAGTCCATAGACTTGATAATGGACTAGTGCTACGGTTAGTCCACTTGCTGTTGTCAGTAGATAAGAGTATTCTATAGACTACTCAATAGGCTAGTCCATAGACTTGCTAATAGACTAGTCCTTAGAATAGTCCACTTGTTGTTGTTGTCGGTAGATTAGTCTATGGACTACTCCATAGGATTGTCAATAGATTATTCCATAGATTTGTCTGTAGACTCGAACACAGACTAGTTAGTACTGAAAAATTAATCATAATACTAAATTTTCCATCCCTGTACTGTCACATATTCTCTTCTCATTTGTTGTTATTGTTTTTGTTGTAATTTTATTATTTTTTTGCAATAATAATGCGGGTGTTGGAAAGTTTAATTTAAGCTTAACTACTAAACGAGTGTTTTTTTTAATTTTATTATAAGTTTTAATTATTTTATAAAAGTTAGTCAGTCACCTTTTTTAATAATTTTTTTCTTTGTTTATAAAAAAAAGTTGTATATTTCTTTTACAATTTATTATGAAATTAAAACACATTAATGGCCGACAGATGAGTAGGTGGTTTATTTTTTTTTGCGGCAAGAGAGATAGATAGAGATTTGTCGTGTTTTGGTAATATTTTTTATATGTTAATAGTAGAATAGGTCCAATTTGAATGGACCAAAAGGTTTAAATCAGGGTTTCTTAAAGAACATTTTAAACAAAAATTCAAAAATAAACATATTAACAATTTATATTTTGAGGTTAGATTTCTGTAAAAATTTTTAAAAAAGATCTATATTTCAATTTAAATTAATTTAAAAATGGAAATGTCTGTGGAAATTTATCTTAAGGCATATGTAGATGTCTGTAAATATAGGTCTCAATATATCTTTTAATTAGAAAAAGTACCATTTTCGAAAAAGTACTTTATTACAGAAATTATAACATAAATATTACGTAAAATACCTAGAACGAAACTAGGACTGAACTAGAACTGAACTAGAATTGAACTAGAACTGAACTAGAACTGAACTAGAACTGAACTAGAACTGAACTAGAACTGAACTAGAACTGAACTAGAACTGAACTAGAACTGAACTAGAACTGAACTAGAACTGAACTAGAACTGAACTAGAACTGAACTAGAACTGAACTAGAACTGAACTACTACTGAACTAGAACTGAACTAGAACTGAACTAGGTTTTAGTTCAGTTCTAGTTCACTTCTAGTTCAGTTCTAGTTCTACCTTTTCTTAACTAGAATTGAATTAGAACCAAACTGGAACTTTTTGTATATGAAAGAGAGAGGTATTTCTGTAAGAGTTTTTATAGAATATTTTCCTTTCGAGAAAATTTTTATTTTAAACATTCCCTTTGAAAGATTTGCTTATTGAAAATTTTCCAAATTGAAATAAATTTATTACAAATTGTAACTCTTTTGTTTTTTGAACACGCTCGACTAATTCCAAACCAAATTTCCCCCCGAAATTTTTGAAAATGATATTTTAGACAAGCCTATAAAATTTGTCCAATTTGAAAACAACCCTCCAATGTTAAAAACAAAAATCCTAATTTGTAAACTAATCAAGCCTAAACGTTTATATGCTTTCAACATTTTACATTTACCTGCAAAAAATACATAAAATACTTGTGTCAGTTAGTATGACAGACAATAGAACCACAACTATATGACCCTCTAAAAGGTATTTTATTTTATTCGGTTTAAAATATACATTACATTTCACCTCTTGCCAAGTTAATGTAACGTTATTTAGTTCATTTAGAATTGTAATGTTTTCTGTGTATTTTGGTTTATATTTTTTTATATTTTTAACTTTTGTTGTTGTTGATTTTTTACCGAAAAACGCATCATATTACACACATTATGTTTGTTTGACGCGCTTGCTGCTCTACTCATACTCTATTTTAATTTGCTTAGTTGTATTAACTTTGCATGCCATGTAAATATTAACATAGTTTACTTACATATTCATTTATAATATAGCTATTTTATATACAAACTTATGTATTTTTATATACTTTGTGGTATATATGTAGATATATACAAATAACAAAGCGTATTTGGGTGTTATAGTTACTTATACATATTAAGTAAGAGTTTTTTAGAAAATTATGACGTTCAAAAGTTTTAAGAGGTTTTGCTTCTTGGAACTATATAGTTTTAATCCTTGACAAAGGTTGGTAGCTGATAAAAGTGAAAATAAAAGAATTTTCTTTTTGTTAACACTCACATTTGCTTAAATGACCTAATTTTGCTTAATATTTTCTCAGTTTTTCTTTTTGTTTATTTGCGAAATTTAAAAGTTACAAAAGAGCAGAAGAAATTTCAAAGAGAAAGGCTTCCACAGAAGATTTTCTAGGAGAAAAACTTCTTCTCTAAGGATTTTTAGATTATTAGAATACCTTTCCAGGAGATTATTTTTCTTATATAATAAATCCTACCAGATCTTTTAAGGATTTTCTCATACAAATTTTTCACTTTGAAAGATTTTTGTACAGAAAACATTTTGTTCCCTCTTAAAGTTTTCTTATAGAAAATTTTCTCTCTGGAAATTTGTTTAAAGAAAATCTTTCTCTCTGAAAGATTTTAAAGAAAATTTGTGTTTTTAGAAACTCTTTTCCTTCGGGACGATTTTCTTATAGAAAATTTGTTTTCTGAATATTTTTAAATATATTTTCTCTCTCTCTCTCTCTGAAAGATTTTTGTATAGAAAATTTTCCCTATAAAATATTTTTTATAGAAAATTTTTTCTTTGGAAAATTTTCTTACAGAAAATTCCCTTTCTGAAGATTGGCTAAAGAAAATCATTCTCTCTGAAGCTTTTCGTACAGAAAATTTTCTCTCTGAAGATTTTCTTAAAGAAAATCTTTCTCTCTGAAAATTTTCTTAAAGAAAATCTTACTCTCTAAAGTTTTTCTTGAAGAAAATCTTTCTCTATGAAGATTTTTTAATAGAAAATCTTGCTCTCTGAAGATTTTTGTAAAGAAAATCTTTCTCTCTGAAGATTTCTTATAGAAAAATATTCTGAATATTTTCTTAACGACAAATTCTCTTACTCTCTAAAAGATTTGGAAGATTTTCTTACAGAAAATTTTTTGTCTGAAGATTTTCTTACGGAAAGATTTCTCTCTGAAGATTTGCTTAAAGAAAATATTTCTCTTTGAAGATTTGCTTAAAGAAAATCTTTTTCTCTGAAGATTACTTATAGAAAATCTGAGTCTTTAAAAAGTATTTTTCTATCGGAATGATTTTCTTATAGAATTTTCTTCCGAATATTTTCCTAAAGACAATTTCTCTCCCTCTCTAAGAGATTTGGAAGATTTTCTTACAGAAAATTTTCTGTCTGAAGATTTTCTTAAAGAAAATATTTCTCTTTGAAGATTTGCTTAGAGAAAATCTTTTTCTCTAAAGATTACTAATAGAAAATCTGAGTTGTTAAAAAGTATTTTTCTATCGGAATGATTTTCTTATAGAATTTCCTTCTGAATATTTTCCTATAAACAATTTCTCTCCCTCTCTAAAAGATTTGGAAGATTTTCTTACGGAAAGATTTCTCTCTGAAGATTTGCTTAAAGAAAATATTTCTCTTTGAAGATTTGCTTAAAGAAAATATTTCTCTTTGAATAGAATTGTTTAAAATCTTTCTCTTTTTTTTAAAGATTTTTTAGACAAAATTTTCCCTCATGATGATTTTTTTATGAAATTTTTCTTCTTGAACGATTTTTTTAAGAAAAACCGATTTTCTTGAAAATGTTGCTTTGCAAAATAGGTTTTCATTAAAAGTACTTTCTTTCAAAATGAAAATTTATGAAGAAGTTATGTTAAAAATTATATTTATATGATGATTTTATTAAAAATATATAAAAAACATGTTTTTGCAAAAAAGTACTTTTTAGGTACTTTTTGAAAAAAGTACTTTTTCTTAGAAAACTCTTATTTAGGTGATTATTATCATTAAAAATATGAAAAAATAAAATTTTTTCTAAAAAGTACTTTTTTGGTACTTTTTCAAAAAAGTACTTTTTACAAAAAAATTACTTTTTATAGCAAAACAAACATTTTTAAACGTTTTTAAGAAAAGTACTTTTGAGTTATTCTCTGAAAAAGGTATTTTTTGGCATGAACCAAAAGTTTTGATTGATTTGAGCTGCTGCTGAGAATTCGTTTTTAATTTTCAATTAATTTCAAGCCTGAGCTTTAAATTCCTATTTTTTTGTAGTGGTGAAAATGGTTTTTGTTTTTCCTTTAACCCCCCTTTTAAACTAAAAAACAGTAGTTAGAGTTTTATTTGCTAACTTACAACAATATCTTACAAATCTTAGAAAATTCAACAATTTACAAACCATTTATCTCTATTTATTTATCTCTTAACAGCACTAAATAAATAAAAACAAAACCCAAAACTGCAAAAAAAAAACAAAAAAGAAAACAAATGAATATAAAACTAGTACTCAAATAAATGGTTTCAACTACCATGTTGACCACACGGGTTGATGAATATCTTAAAGACAACAACTACTACTACTATCTACTACTACTCTGCTACTTTTAAGTCTTAAAGTAACTAAAAAAAAAACAAAACGCATGTTTTTGATTAAGAAAATTTAAATATATTTAAAATAATTAAAAATAAAGCAAATATAAAATTCATAAATAATGTCTAAACTACAATTATTATATTATTATCATCTACAACAACAACAACTGCTGCTTAACATTATTCATCAATTGTATAAATAACTGTAACTAATATAAAACAAAAAAATTAAAAAAAAAAACTATTTAAACAAAACAACGCTCTCATTATAAAATAATTTCTAACCCTGGCTGTTTACCGCCTTCTCTAATCCCCTCTGCTGCTGGAAAATTGGCTTTTTCTGCAAAAAAAAAAAACTCATTTAAAAAAACGACGTTTGGCGTTTAAAAACATCATGCATAAAACTAAACTAAATAATTTAACAACAAATAACAATACAACAACTGCATTTAATACATCAACAACAACATCATCATTATCACCCAACTCATCAACAACTTCATCATCATTAACTTCTTTGAATAATACCACAACTGATGATCTACAACATTCGCTGCAGTCTCATCAACGTCATCAACAACGTGCCCACCATCACCACCACCAACATCGCCAATATCAAAAACAACCCAAACAACAGCAACAACAACAACTACCACAACAAACTTCTACTTCAATATTAAATTCATCAATTGCTTCAATTGATCTAGAGCAATACATTGAAGCAATGGAGGCACGTAGCACTGCTAGTGAACGTAATCCGGAAGCAGATGTCTGGGCCCAGCTGCAACAAAAAGAATCTGATATCTTGCTGGCCGCTGAATTGGGCCAGGCACTGCTGGAGGAGAATCAAGAGTTGAAAAAGAAACTGGAGAAGGAAATTAAAGAGAATTCGGCAAAAATAGAGGTAAGTCAAAAACTACAATATGATTTTTCTTTAATTTTTCTCTACCATTTCCCAAGACGGCCTTTATTTGCATAAACTTGAAGGTCTCTTCAGTAATTTTGTAATTATTACCCAATCCCCGTGATAAAGCAAATTTTGTAATATTGTTCATAAAAAAACAATTATGTTTTAATTTTTTATAATTAAATTTTGAAATTTTACTTGCAAGAAACTATAAAATGATTATCTTACAGAAATAGTAGTAGAAATACTACTTTTTAAAAAAACAAAGGAAATTTAAAACTTTTTGGACACAATTAAATTTAGAATAATTTTAGCTTGAAGAAAATAATAATTTTTATATAATTTTTCCATCTTTAAAATAGTAGTAGAAATACTACTTTTTTCAAAAGCAAATGAATTTAAAAACTTTTTTAGCTGAATATAATTTAGAAATATGTAACCTTTAAGAAAATACAATTTTTTATAAAAAATTTGCAAAAAGTACTAAATTAGCTACTATTTTTTAACAAAAAGTATTAATTTACCTAAAATTTTTAATGGTATGCAATAAATATGCCATACAGATATCGAATTCATAAATATTTTTCGTTTTTAAAATAGTAGTAGAAATACTACTTTTTTCAAAAACAAAGGAAATTCAAAAATTTTTAAGCAGAATATATTTTAGGAAAATGTAGGCTTTAAGAAAACATAAATTTTTATAAAAATTTTCGAAAAAGTACTAAATTAGCTACTACTTTTTAACAAAAAGTACTTATAAACCTAAAATTTTTAAGGGAATTCAATAAATATGCCATACAGATATCGAATTTATAAATATTTTTCGTTTTTAAAATTGTAGTAGAAATACTACTTTTTTCAAAAACAAAGGAAATTCAACAATTTTTAAGCAGATATGTTTAAAAAAATTGTAAGTTTTAAGAAAATAAAATTTTTTATAAAAATTTTGCAAAAAGTACTAAATTAGCTGCTACTTTTTAACAAAAAGTACTTATAAACCTAAAATTTTTAAGGGAATTCAATAAATATACCATACAGATATCGACGTTATAAATATTTTTCGATTTTAAAATAGTAGTAGAAATACTACTTTTTTCAAAAACAAAGGAAATTTAACAATTTTTAAGCAGAATATGTTTAAGAAAATTGTAAGTTTTAATAAAACTAAATTTTTTATAAAAATTTTGCAAAAAGTACTAAATTAGCTACTACTTTTTAACAAAAAGTACTTATAAACCTAAAATTTTTAAGGGAATTCAATAAATATGCTATACTGATATCGAATTCATAAATATTTTTTGTTTTTAGAATAGTAGTAAAAATACTACTTTTTTCAAAAACAAAGGAAATTCAACAATTTTTAAGCAGTATATGTTTAAGAAAATTGTAAGTTTTAAGAAAATTAATTTTTTTATAAAAATTTTGCAAAAAGTACTAAATTAGCTACTACTTTTTTAACAAAAAGTACTAATTTACTTAAAATTTTTAAGGGAATTCAATAAATATTCCATACAGATATCGAAGTTATAAATATTTTTCGATTTTAAAATAGTAGTAGAAATACTACTTTTTTCAAAAACAAAGGAATTTCAAAACTTTTTAAGCAGAATATGTTTAAGAAAATTATAAGCTTTAAGAAAACACATTTTTTTATAAAAATTTTCAAAAAAGTACTAAATTAGCTACTACTTTTTAACAAAAAGTACTAATTTTCAATTTTTTTATAGAATTTAATAAATAAACATTACAGATACCGAATTCATCAATATTTTTCTATTTTAAAATAGTAATAGAAATACATACTACTTTTTTTTTAATAGCTATCTAAGTTAAATAAGTAGTAGTGCTGTCTGTGTTATTTCCAACTATTTATACTTTATCATTTCAAATTATTATTTGTAGTATTATTTATTTATATGATTTTTATCGATTTTTTTTTCTAACAGTCATCGAAATAACATTTAAATAATAATGTATAGAATTGTTTACCTTTTTCTTGCTTTAGGTACTAAACGTACTTAGACTATTTTATGATTCACGGTTATTAATATTTTATCATAAATATATTTACAAAGAAGGACAAATCGAAGGAAAGGAAAACGTGAATAACTTAAGATATTTGTAAGAAATTTGTTATCATTTCTACTTTCAAATGGCCTTGAACTTTTTGTTTTTGCTTGACTTTAAGCTGCTGTCGTCTTAACGTATACGATTTGTATAGACATTTTATTAGATTTTAGCCTTCTTTATATAGACAACTATATTAAAACCATGTTTATCTTTTATTTTCAAAGAAGTTCCAAGAGTGCAAATGAAAAAAGAAATAAACACAAGAAATTGACATTCAAATTTCTTTACAAAAAGATAAAATGGAAAACATACACATGTTGTTGTCATGGATTAATTCAAATAAAAACCAAAATATTGATCCATTTTTCAAAGAACAAAAAAAAAACGAAACAACTCCTACAATTAAGTTCTTTTTTCGATTTTGCTTTCGTTTGAGGTTCAAGGTGTGTCATTACCAAAAACCAAAAAACCAAATGAAACCTACCCAAGTTCATTAAAATTTCCCTATTCTAATGAAACTCCTATAGCGTCAAGTTTACCAAAAAGATAATTTAGGTTCCAACCCATAACAACCTTCACTGAGGTTAGATAGTTTTCCCTAGTTATCAATATTGTTTTTGTATTGGGGTTTAAGGAACTACATTGACATTTCATGTGTATTTAATCATTGTTTTTGTATTTATTTGTTTAATTATTTATTTGTAAACAAATTAGTATTGAAAGTTAACTTAGAGAAAAACTTGTTTAAATTATTTGTGTTTTTTGTTTCTGCTGTCATTGCATGAAAATAGGAGTTTGTTTTTTTCCACAAAAGGTGTTTGAACTCCAGTTGTTGTTTTCATGTGTGTGTGTATTTCTCTACAATGTTCTTTTGGGTAAATGACCAAAGAAAGTTCGAGGTTGTAAATGTTTCCAATCTTCGTAGATGGGGCTTAATTACTTGGTTAAAATTAGAACATTATTCAGGGTTCGTCGTTCTTTAACATCAAAAGTTATTGAATTTTCTAACCTTTTAATAAAAAGTCAAAATTTAGTTCAAATTTTTAATGAAATTTGTTTAATATACAACAGTGATCTTGAAATCATAAATATTTTTCATTTTAAAATAGTAGTAGAAATACTACTATTTTCAAAAACAAAGCAATTTCATAAATTTTTTATAGGATATGATTTAGAATAATAAGAGGTTTCAGAAGATAATATTTTTTATAAGAATTTTTTAAAAACTACTAAATTATCTACTACTTTTTAACAAAAAGTAAAAATTTTCACAAAATGTTTAATAGAATTTGTTAAATATGCAATAGTGTTTGCAAATTCATTACTACTAAAATAGTAGTAGAAATACTACTTTTTTCAAAAACAAAGGATATTCCTAAATTTTTATATAGGATATGATTAAGAAGAATTTTAGCCTTAAGAAAATCATACTTTTTATAACAATTTTTCAAAAAGTACTAAATTAGCTACTACTTTTTAACAAAAATGAAAAATTTTCACAAAATTTTTAATGGAATTTGTTTAATATGCAACAGTGATCTTGATATAGTACATAGTTTGCCATTTTAAAATAGTAGTAGAAATACTACTTTTTTCAAAAACAAAGGAATTTCATAACTTTTTTTTATAGGATATGATTGAGAAGAATTTTAGCCTTAAGAAAATCATACTTTTTATAAAATTTTTTCAAAAAGTACTAAATTAGTTACTACTTTTTAAGAAAAATTAAGAATTTGCAAAAAAAATTTGTTGCAATTTGTTTAATATGCAATAGTGTTTGCAAATTCATTATTATTTTTCTATTTTAAAATAGTAGTAGAAATACTACTTTTTGTAAAATTAATAAAAATGAGGGGATATAATAAAGAAGTTGATTTAGTTACTTTAAAAATTTACTTTTTTAGTAAAATCTAACTTGATTTGCTAGTTTTTCCAGCAAAATTCCACTGAATTATAAAGAATTTCTGAATTTTGTTGTTTCAATGGCTTATTTCCTCTTATTTCTTATTTAAAAAGAATAGAAGCTTATTGTTTTAGCTGTAAAACTTACACTTGTTTCCTGTAGTAAATAGTTTCCAATTAAAAATACACCTATAGAAAAGTAGTGTAGTTGGAAAATGTATGTAGATCAATGATAACTACAATTTTCCATTTCCTCTATATAATAAAAGAATATTCTAATTAAATTTTTTTGAAAGGAAAAAAACCCTGGAATCTTTTTAACACATGTCACGTACGAAAGTAATGCTCTGCTAGTAAATAAATTATTTGGTTTTAAAAGTTTTTTTTTTTTGTTACTTTTTTGAATATGAACTCATATGAAAAACTAAATAGTTAATACATTAGGGAAGGTAAGTGTACAAATAATTGAAATACAGGTGTAACACTAACTAACTACCACTAGCAATGCGACCATTACAGCAACAACAACATTTTTAGTTTAAATTTACAAAAACAAAAACCCTTCTTTTTATTAATAATGACACGTTTAATATGAAATTTTATCGATTTTTTTTTATTGTTTATTTTTGGACTCACACGCTCGGACTTTTACGAGCTGTATTAAGGTGTCAGTTGAAATTTAAAAGAAGAGAATTTATAGTTTTACTCTCTTTAACTTATGTGAAAATAATATTAGAAATTTCGAAAAAAACACAATAATTAGAATTAGTTGAACAAAAAATGAGGGGGTAATTAATGAACAGACATGACAATTTTGTGTAAATGAAATTGTTGTGGGTAGAAAGAGTAACAGAGGGAGTGATAGTTAGACCTAAACGTCAATCAGATTGATATGGTGGTTTCACATTTGAAATAGAAACAAAAACAAAAGAGAACATTCACACTGAATTGAGAAATTTCAACAGACTAGGAATTAGATATTTAGATCATTTAAACATCCGGTTAATAAAAATAAGTAAGAGAACACGTGTCTCCAACCCAGGCTGAAAACCCTGGGAATCTTATGGGAACAAAAATTTATAAAAATTATTGATACAAATTTTTAATTAAAAATTCAAACAAAATCTTCAACCATAAATCACAAGCTTGGCTAGCAGCTAGAAGTATGAATCTGAATAAGTATCTAAAGCAGACGTGTTATTTTATATATTTCTTCTTAAATTTTTTGTTTATTA